TGAACTGCAGGAGATTGTCTTGACCATGTCTACATGCCTAAATGCACTGAGTTGCCGCCATGTGATTGGCTGCTTAGAAATTAAGTGTTAATAAGCAGTTGGACAGGTGTACCTAATAAAGTGGCAGGTGTGTGTACACTTCTGTGCAGTTCCTCAGTACTGGTCTCTTGTTGTTACTTTGCTCCTCATATGTGTTTTCCCTGATTAGGGCCACTGAAAAAAAAAAAAGTTAACTGATTTTTAAATTTTATTTCAATTTAACATGGGGAAAAAAGTCTTTAATCTCAGAATTCTGACAGATAACAAACATGTTAGCATCAAGCCATAGCCATGTCCGTTTTAGAGACTAGCTCTCTTGTTTTAATGACCTTCTGTTCCTCCATTAATGAGGGGACCCCTCAGGCACGTAAAAAGTTGCCTAATTCTGTCATTTTCCACCAATGTGTCACTGGCCATCTGAAACAACTCACATCTTTGTCAGTGAAGCTGAGTGCTCCCACATCTCTTCCTTCATGGTGCCCATCTACATTAAGATCCACAATTCTGAGATTAAAGTCAGAATTCAGAGGAAAAAAGTCAGAATTATGAGATTAAAATCGGAATTCTGAGAAAAAAGATAATAAACTGAAATAAAATTTAAAAATCAGTAAACTTTTTTTTTTCAGTGGCCCTAATCTTTTTTTTTTTTTTTTTTTAGTGGCCCTAATCCTCTTCCGTATGTTTCCTTTGCATCTTCATTAAAAAAGCAACAACTCATCACTGCCTCCGTCTATTCTGTGTTTCGGTCCACAACCACATCCACCACCAGTTGACAAACAGAGCAGAATGAGATAGGATGTGAACTTTAGACTTTCCAACAATTGATGAGTGTCTGTTTTATTTTTTGAAAAGATAATTAATAATCGATAAAATTCAGAAAGAAATACAACATTTTATTCCAAATGTGGGCCATTTAATGGTGTACATTAGTAATAGTTTTCTGCTTGTATCACTTACCATGATGCTCCAGAGACTTTATAAAGATCCCAACAGCAAGTATTTGCAACTCAGCCTTATGTGTTTAAACTTAGCTCTGACCTTTCTGCTGTTTTTTTTCAACCAGCCTGAAGAAAACATTTGGTTGTGGCACGAAAAGTGACAGAGATAAGGAGGCGTATGCTGTGATGAGAGACGAGTACAGGAAACTTGGCGGTATGAAGTTTGCTGAGGGAGCAGTTCTCACCATCTTCATTCTGCTAGTGCTCCTCTGGTTCACCAGGGAGCCGGGCTTCATACCCGGCTGGGCAACAGTGCTCTTCAACAAGGACGATTCGTGAGTTATTTGGCTTTCCTTTCTTTTAATAAAAATGTAATGGATTTTTCAGGATTTTAGAAGATTTCTTTTTACCTTGTTTGTTTTTATTTAAGTGTTTAGGACTGTTTTTTGCATTTGCGAGCAGACAGACATATCTCTGTTTGGAGAATCAGCGAAGAGTCTTAATGAGCTCTATGCATAACTCCACTGATTCCTGAACTTAAGAAAAACTATCTTTCATTACTTTATGAACTGATTAATCCGGATGTGCCTGGCCATGGTTACAATTGAAAAAAAAAAAAAAAGTAAATAATAATAAAAGCAGATCTTGTTGTCAATTGATATTGCTACATGCTTCTGTTGACTCCAAATACCTATAATTTTATTGAACAAATCATCTTGATTTTAAAAATAATTTCAAGCAGCCGCTTTTTAAACAAATGAATGTTGTTTGTTATTTTTTTAAGAAAGAAATGTCACAGATTTTATTAAAAAGCATTTTTTAATGTTATTATTCAATCATTTTTGCTATTAAATGTGTCAATCTTTGTTTCTTTAGATTTGTGACAGATGGAACAGTGGCCATTTTCATGTCAATGCTCTTCTTCGTCATCCCTTCTCGGCTGCCCAAGTTTGGCAGCTATGGTTTCACCGAAGCAGGTAAGACAGCATCTGAGTCAGGTTATCTAAATCTGAGGAAAGCAATAACTTTAAAACATCAGACTTGTCTTCTGCATTAACTACTTTTATATATTATTGCTCCACTTCATGTATCAGGAAAGAGGATTAAGGCGCCTCCAACCCTGCTGAACTGGCAGGTGGTGCATGAGCGGATGCCTTGGAACATCATCCTGTTGCTGGGTGGAGGATTCGCTCTGGCTGCTGGCAGTGAGGTCAGGTCATTTTTCTAACTTCTTCCTTCCATGCCCATTGCTAATACCAACATGTAATGATCACCAATAGGTGAGATTCAGATCTCACCTATTGGTTCATGGTTAATATTTCATCCTGCAGACTTTTTTACTCATTTATTCATTTATCCATTTTATATGCATTCAACAGTAAAAAAAAAAAAAAAAAGCTTTTTGTGTCCTTCGTTATTTTTTCATGTTTATTTTTTTCAGAATTTGTTTAGCTTGACATTTAATTGCATTCCTAAATTAGGTATAAGCATTTATTTTGTTTTATGCAATTCCTTTTATTCATTCATCATGTAAAAAAAATACTTCCGTGTGTTTTTTTATTGATTGATTATTGATTAATTGATTTTATTGATCTCACAGAGGAGAAATTTATGTAAT